CCCTTGTCCCTGCCCTCCCTTCACCCCCTCCTCCCCTCCCCATCTACAAACACTTTATTTCCATCTTTTCATTATCTCACATTTTTTCTTTTCCCTTATTACCCTTCCCCTACCCATCCCACCTTCCCTACACCTTTAGCCCCTTCTCATTTCACAATGTCAGTAATCTTATTAGGGTCTTATGTATTGTTGCAGTTTATTCACACCAGAGAAACTATTCGGTATTTACACATGTGTGACTTATTTATTTCACTTAGGAGTATATCTTCAATATTATCCATTTTCCTATGAATGAATCTATTTTCTTGTTCTTTATGGCTGATGGAAAAACCACATCTTCTTTATCTAGTTTCCAACTGATGGGCAAATAGGCTGTTTCCAAGTTTTAGCTATTACAAACTGTGCCGCTATAAACATGGGTGTGCATACATCACTGTGATATGATTATTTTAGTTCTTTTGGAAAGATACCCAGCAGAGGTATGGCTGGGTCAAATGGAACCTCCAGTCCAAGCTCATGAGGTATCTCCATATTGATTTCCACAGTGGTTGCACCAGTCTGCCCTCCCACCAACAATGGAGAAGGGTTCTGGAAAGGTTTATTTTAGATCACAATTTGTAGAAGTTTCAGTCCATAGTCAGCTGGCACCAAAGCATGGCAGAAGGGAATGGTAGAGGAAAACAGCCCATGGCAAGGTAGGCAAAAGGCAGTTAAGCAGTGAGCAGTGAAGCAAGTCTTCCTTTCCCTTTTATCCCACCAAAGCCACAAATCTTTTGTGTGGTGCCATTCATACCCAGGGTTGGCCTTCCCATTATTCTTGCCCACAGCTATACTAAACAAGTCAGTGGACAAATCCAGCATCACACCCTTAATTCAGTATCATACACCCACCTCCTAACAGCCCCATCTATAAGCTCATGAGACTTTGAGGGGAAACCTAGATACAACCCATAATACATGTGGTTTAAGGTAAGGCTTTAATGTCATTGTTTTGCATGCAGATAGCTAGACTCCTCAACACTGTTTGTTGAAAAGACCATGCATTCTCCCTTACATGATCTTGACATTCTTGTTGCAAATCACGTGATTATATATGTGAGGATTGATTTCTGGGGTTGCTATTTCCGTTGGATTGGTCTGTATGGCTGTCTTTATATTAGTATCATTCACTTTTGATTACTGTAGTTTTGTAGGAAGTTTTAAAATCAGAAAGTGTGAGACTTCCAGCTTCGTCCTTTTTCAAACTTGTTTTGGCTGTTCAAGATCCCCAAGGTATACACTGAATTATAGGACCAATTTTTCTATTTCTGCAAAAATAGTCATTGGTCTCTAATGGTAAAAGCATATCTCATTTTCCAGTTTCTTTTTTCACCAATGATTTTTCTAAAACAAATACTTAAACTTTAATTGACGAGATTATTTTCTTTAATTTTCTAAAATTAATCTAATGTTCAGGCATCAAGTCAGGCATTAAGTAGTTCCGAAAACACGCTAGGTTTTTTAAAAAAAGAAATGTAGTATAGGAACTTGATAATGCCCAGGTAACATTATGTTAAATAATCTGCTGGGACCAAAAACAATCCCTCTAGTCATAGGAGTACAGGGAAATGCTGGGGTCACCCAAGATAAGAATGATGGAGGAGGGAACGATCTGTTCCAGTTCCCCAGACAGCAGGGGATGGGATCCCTCACTGTGGATGTGAAGAGTGCTCCTGGATGGAGGGGTTGCCAAGCGTCCCTTGTTGCTGGAAAATGCCAACAGAATCTGAAAAAGGAAAAAAATCCTTCCTCTGCACTCCTACTTTCCAAACTCCTGCCAGTATTTACCTTTGGTAGAAAATAACGAGAAGCCCATCTGTAGGGAAGTGGAAAATGCTCAGTCTTTGGAGTCTAAAAACATAATAGAACACACAAGGGCAGAAATATGGGTTAAGAGCATCAGATAAGTGACTGTGCCCAACTCCCTTTCTGTAAAGCTTCAGGGTGGCTAAATCACACCTAGAAGGTCGTTTGCTTTAATTTTTAGGTGTCTTTCTTTAATGTAACATGAATGAGAGCTGATGCCTTTTCCTCTTCATTTGGATTGATTTACTGCCAAAGTTTTATGGGTCTCCACCAGGGGGAGAGAAAGGCCAGTTTATTAAAGGGTTAGACTTTAGAGGTACATTTGCTTCAAGTTTCAGATTGGAGAAAAAAAAAAAAAATAATACTGAGAGACTTCTCTCCTCGATGCTGTGCTAGAATATAACTTTGTTTTTACCTTATGAGTTTGGACTGCTCTGTCAATGTGCTCCCCGTTTTCTGGTTATGATTTAAAACTTTTGCTACAAAGATCAGGCCTATTCTAGCTGGCTCAAGAAAAGATTTTTGTTATAAATATACAACAGGAGTATCACTGACATTGCTAGAATAGAAATAAAATACAACCATGGTTTACCATGGGAAGGGACTGCTCTTTGTTTCTCTGAAGAAAGCCATGGTCACTGTTATGTCAGTTTCTCGTGTGTACATTATTCATTCACTGAATGTCCAAGAAGCCTCCACCCCAGTGCTGGAGTTATATATACAAGGGAGGATAGGGTGTTCAGATGGGAAAGACAGGCATTAAGCAAATAAATGCACAGCATAAGATTATAAATAGCTATAAATTGTATAAGTGTTATATACAGCTTTTAGGAGAGAGTAAAACATGTAAACTTACACTTAAGAAGTTAGGTAATGGACTTTTAAAAACATATCACTTAAATTCAGAGCTAAAGATGAGGATAAGTTAGCCAGATTGAGAATGGGCCAGAAAGGTTGACCAATCATCAAAGGTTTGAACCAGAAATAAATTTGATCAGGAATGTTAGGCTTATTATTTTAATAGTTTGTTATTTTAACATGTGGTAAACATATTTGTGATGAAGAGGAAAATTTTATCAGTGAAGAGCACTTTGTTGTGGAAATCTGTAAAATTACATAGCTCAATTACTTTCAGATTGGTTCTTCACTTTTGATTTGCTTTATGTAGTAACTGAAGGTAGAAGCTATTAATTTGTTATTGGCCCAGTGTTTTCCAACACTCATTTCCAGTGTGACCTGGCCCTCTTTCTCCCCACTTAAATGATATAAAAGTATCCTTGAGCCAGGTGTATAAACAATGTCTTACCATCAAATGGTTTTACTTTTCTAAAATCAAGTCACCGAGACTTCTACATACCAGTGACAGAAATCTAGAGTCTAACTGTCCACTGAGAAATACTTCACAATCAGAGTTCACATTCACAGGTCTGAGCCTCTCTGACCACTCATCCATACCAGGCTAATTGTGAACTAGTGTGTCAGTCACTCTGATTCAGAATGGGGCTCCTGGCTCCCTCCCACTGCAGTTCTCACTGTCACAGATATAATCCATAGTCAAGGCCATCGATTTAATGGGGCCTCAGTGACAGTTTGAGCTCCTGTGTTGACACTCACGCACTTGCTAGGTTTGGGGAAATGTATACAAGAGACTCAGTCATAAGGAGCCGAGCACAACAGTCTACTGGAGGAAAAGAATCACTGTAAAATAAGGAGTATTTTAAATTTAAATGTCTTCACCCATCCAATGGACTATTTAAAAATCTAGCTTGTAAATTTCATTTAGAATTTCCTGATAGAATTGTAATTGAAATGAAAACTTTCTACTAACTGTTAGGATCCCTTATAATTTTTTATTAAAGGGGGAGAAAGTGTACGGATTTGCTTCTTAGCCACTTATTAAGACATTCCAGTAGAAATAATTGTCTGTATTTGGTCTGAGAAAACAGCATTCTTTTATCTTTAGGAATTATTATGGTTTGGGTCTAGATGTCCCAACAAAGCCTCATGTGATCATAGGTGGCTTTTCAATGTGGCTGTTGGAGATGCTGATTAGGTTTATAGAGAAACTAAAATAAAAAGCAGGCTGAGTGTAGGGAAGTAGTGTGGACCGGGTGTCCTGATGACAGAATCGTTAGGCTAAGCTTGAGGGTCACCTTTGCTGTGGTGACTCCCCTCATGCCTCCTTCCACTGGGTCAAGAAGTTTGAGGTAAGAATCCCTCCTCTGCTCTCAGGACTAACTATTCCTCTGTGTTATTATTATAGAACTGTAATTATTAGTTTTGCCCATGTGCTGTGAGATGAATTGTGTTTGCTCTCAAATTCATATGCTGAAATCCTAACCCCCAGTACTTCAGAAGGTGACCTTACTGGTAAATAAGCTCATTGCAAATGGAATTAGTGAACATGAGACCATTCAGTTTGGCTCTGATTGGATGTGAGTGATTCTTTTCTTGAAAGCAGAGATGAGGGTACTTCATCTACAAGTCAAAGAGTACAAAATATGCCAGCAAACTTCCAGAAGCTAGGAGAAGGGGCTGGGACAGATTCCCAGCCCTAAGGAAACCAATCTGCCCTACTCTTTCATCTTGGATTTCCAGTGTCTAGAATTGTGGCACAATAAATTTCTGTTGAGCCTCCCAGTTTGTGGTACCTTGTTGCTGCACCCCTAGCAAACAAATACAGGCTCAGATGATTGAGGATATTGTAGGCATCCTGAGGAACAGAGAGGATTGGGGGCTCAGGACTTCTGCATATTGGCAGTGACATAAGTCATGGGAGGACAAGCAGAGGAAATGGATGGTGAGTAAATGTCTTGTTCTGCAGATGAAGGGTGTCTTAAGTACTAGAGGGCGTGTGGAAGTTGTGTGGAGCAGGCCTCACAATAGATGATGATCTGTGTGTGGTTGCACAGTCAGAAATCCTCTCTTGGGATCTGAGTTGATCTTCCTTAGCCCGTAAGGAAAGGTATTCATGAACATTGAATTCCTTTCGAAGGATCCACCTTTTGTCCACCTTTTGGAGCTCAGAAAAGCCTTTGTCCATGCTGTGGTTAAACTAGTGCTCCCCAGAGTTGCATGTGCTAAAGGCTTGGTTGCCAAGGTGGGACCACTGGGAGGTGCTGTAACCATTAGAACTGGGGCCTAGTGGGAGATCTTCAGACCACTGAGGCCACTGAGCCCAAGGGGACTCTGGGACTCCAGTCTCTTCCTGTCACCAAATTGTCCACCATGATGTGCTCCCCTGGCCAGATCTCCGCAGTGATGGGACTGGATCTTGAAGGGAAGACAGATTAAGATGAAAAGAAGTCTTTGCAAAGCTGCAGTAATAAATTTCCAGCAGAAACTTAATTAAATCTTTTATAAAGAAATCACATGGCTATCAAAAATCTGTTCTCCCAAACCCCTTTAAAGCTAATTAAAAAAAAATCTTGAAAGTATTTGGAGATAATTTGGAAGCCTTCCTTTGCATTTCAGGTTATTTTTGAACTTATTTGATGTTGATCTACTAGCTTGCAATAGCATTCTGCATCGATTATAGCAACCAAAAATATCTTCAGACATTGGCCTTCTTAGGACAGCTGAGACTCATAGCTTTACCAATGGTGACTTGAGGCAGAGAGGACTCTAGGGATAGGCTGACGTCTTATCAGTATCATTGGCAAACACCTGTGCAGAGCCCCGCTGGCTGAAAAAGGCAGTGTTTCCAGGCCAGGCTTCAGAACACCGACTTACTCCAGAAAATACTCCTCCTTTCCACGTGAGAAGGACTCTGATAGTTAAATAATCAATTGTCAACCTGAGTGGGAACACGCAGCCCGCATGAATTGAGCCAGCACGGTTCTGGGTGTGAGAGATCCACTTAAGGAGGCTTGTTGTTCCAATGGTATAAAAGCTGAAAGGAAGGGGTTTCAGGTGATTTTCCTTGGAAGATCTTCATTGAGGCTGCTTTTCTTCAGAAGACTTTCAGTGTCTTTTTTTCCAAAGAGCTTTGGCTGCTTTCTGTCTTAGGGGAATTTCAACTCTAGTCTTCATCTTGGATTTTGTTGCCTGGGTTTCAGCACAGACCCCCTCAGCCTTCTGGCTCAGATGTTTCCGTTTCCGGCACTCCTTTCCAGCACAGATCCTTCTGTCTCTCATCGTGGATCCTTCAACCTCCTGATACAAACTTGCACAGAGCATCACTGTGAGCTGAGATTTGAACTCCTCTTAGAAGCCTTCCTTGATGACTCTGAGTAGACATAAGCTTCTGTTATTTTGGTCTCTCAGTGAACCACATGAAGATTCAGAGTTTGACTCAAATTGTGCTAGTTATGTATGTATACATTTGTACAAATTTGCTAAGGAGATTGTCCACTCTTTGGTAGCCTTGACAAAATCCTATCACTGGATATCTGTCTTCAGCAGTGTTTATCATGGCGGCTTTGTTTAACTATTCTCTCTTTCTCCCTCCCTTCCTTTCCCCTCCCCACTTCCACCTCCTCTTTCCCTTCTCCACCACACATGCTTTTCTAGAGTGGGATTAGAAGAAAGAAATTAAACTGGCACATTGCTGCTCCGTGGTATTACTTCAGTTAGCTGGACTCCTACTCTTCTGGTTTCTTCTTGAATGTTACTTGTCTCTTCTCAGACAAAGATAACTGTTTCCATTTGTTTTTTCTTCTTTGTGGGTCATGTCCAATCAAGATTATTTGCTGTAGTTTTTAAAATTTTAAAGTATAAAACCTGGCCTATTTATTTTTATTGACCTCTTGATCCATTAAAAGGATTTTTGTCTGTCTCTTTTATATAATAATTTTATTTTGCTTCTTTTATCACATGAATTTATTTTCCTACTCTCTGTGTTAGATTTTAATAAAAAGTTCCTATTTCTATTAAACAAAAAGATAAACTGTGCATTTATATTTCATATGGTTATTTAAGTAGCTGGTGTTGTGCCTTACAGAACAGAGTAGTAGTGAATGTGCTGAAAAAATTTTATGGGACTCAATCAATCTCTTAAAAGTAGATTAATAAAGCTAAACTAAAAGTAAACCTGTGTTAGGGAAACCCTGTCTGAAATGTCTTTTATAATTCAAATTTTCTTTAACAGCATATTTCATATGGCCATTTAAAAAAAGTGAATTTTCATTTAAGGTGATTAAGAATTTTTTCCTTGTCCCTTTAAACTCCCCAATTTCAAATTTAACAAGGATACTTAACATTTCTGAGACACACTGCTAGGAGGAGCTGCGTCAGAATGTGAACCCAGAGGTTTCCTAGGCTTCTGTCAGGGTTTCTTTTTGGTAGGCAAAGCATCCCCAGAATGCTGCAGGAGCTTCCAGATGAGCCAAGACGAACAGGAAGTGACGCTGGCAGTGGGGTCAGGGAGCAGCGGACTGGGGGAGAGAGGGACCTGGAAATGTCCCTGGAGCCTCTACAGGGAGAGGTTACAACTCCAGGCTGGGGAACATGGGCCTTCCCTCCTGTACCTTCTCTGCTACGGTTTCAGTCATTTCAATAGTTACTGCTACTTCCTGAACATTCTCAACTGTCCACAGAAAGTCATGAAGGATGGATTGATCTTTCCTTATTTCAGTTAGGGATGAAGAACGCAAGTTTTTTCTACTCTTACATCTATGAAAAAAAATAGAAAAAATATTTTTTATTTGCCTGGCTTTAGAAAAGCAAGAGCAATCTGATTTGACAACTTATTTCAGTTTTCATGTAAACAGGTTTAAAAAATAGAGTGATTTACTAGGATTATAAAATAATCAAGTTACCTTCATGTCACTCATTACATTTTTGCTTTCCTGATTCCCCCTGAGGGAAGAGGAATTGTCTTGGGACGCATATAAAGTATTTAATATAGTTAGTGTACAAGAGTATCAAAACTTTCTTTTTCTATATTTTGTATTATGACATAAAAAGGGCAATTGGTTTGTAGGCTGCAGATCGGACATCCTCACAGAATGTTCATTTGTTTCTCAGTCATCAGGGCTCAGCGTGTAAACCATTCCTCAAAACTCAGAGGAAATCTTAGCAGACACCTGGAGATCAGTACTCTTTCTCATGAATTCCTCTTTATAGCAATTGACACAAAGTTTACCAACTATTCCTCCCTGCCCTGCTTTGTACTTATTTTGGCAGCCATATAAGGTGGAATTTTTCTCAGTCTTTATCATTTAGGCCATGTACCAGTGAGAGGCCTATATTAATTGTTTATGGTGAATGTCTAACAAAGTCATAGCCTAACAGAACTCAAGAAACTTTTTTGCTTTATGTAATATGATTTATTCACTTTCCTTTGCTTAGGATAGAAAAACTATTCACACTCCCAAAGTCTACCCACCAGGCAGTGGTCCCCACACCCCTTCTCCTTGAGGTGCTCATGGAAGGAATCCTATTGTTTTAAGACTTTTTGGACAATCTAGCTAGCTCCAGCAAGCAAAACCCGAGTGAGACCCTCAGTAACATCAATGGAAACTGAGCTTCTGGCTCCCTTAGAAGGCACGGGGAAGAGAGCCCCAAATAAGGAGCTCAGGGTGAGGCGCTGTACTTAATTTTCATAATTTACAGGGTATGACTGCGTTCATTTGCACAAATCACTGTGGGTTAATTTATATTTCCTATCATAAACTTTATGAATCATGTAACATAGCCCCTGTGGCTTCATTTCTCATAAAAGAAGGTAAAGAATACACTCAGAACAGTTCAGTCCTTTGAGGTTTGTAATTGGTGTTTCATTTCATCTAAACTACAACTGTCTATGTTATATAAACAAATTGGAAGCGAGAACAACGAACAAATCATTAAAGTGAACTTCTGTTTTAAGGAAGTGTTGGCTTCAAAATAGTTACATAAACATCCTTCGAAGAGTTAGAGACATGGCCATTTTTAGTGGCCAGGCTGAATAAATAGCATTACCTGTGAAGGCTACTTTGTCAATGTCCATGTGCGAGGGGATGGCTGCCCCTGCAGTGGGACCATAGCCAGGGACGAAAGGATAAAAAGCAAAACAGGTACAACAAACTCAGAATGATGCAAGAAAGGGTAATATGTGATGGTGGTTGCTTATTTAGGGTAATCTGGCGAGTTGCTCAACTAAGAAAAATTCACCTAAGTGGCTTACTTCTTTATTATTATTATTTCACTTCTTAGTTGACATAAAAATAACCCAATAAGGGCAATATTAAGCTATGCTTTCTTTCCAGGGTAAGACTATAGCTTATTGCTCCGATGAGGGCCATCTCAAGTTTCCTTATAGTAACTCAAGAAAATAGCATATCTAAAAATGATAGTAAAATGTTTAGACAGAAGGGAAATAATGTGTTTATTATCCCCATCACAAAAATAAAAAGCTAGAGGATCTCACATTTTTAGTTCTCTGGCTGTTGATGGCTAAGACTTAGGAGCTGGGGTGCAAACCCTCAGTGACATTCTTTGATCAGTAAAATGTTAGGTAAGCAAGGTCATCCTGTTCAGGGTGAAGCGTCACAAACTGATATCAAGCCTTGTTAAAAAGTTCATGTAGGAGGCAAGGTTGCAACTGAGTCGAGCATGTTAAACTTTCATGTTACTTGAATTAAATTGCTTCATTTTCACATCTTTGAAACGAAGAATATTTTTTAAGGTATGGGTATAGATTTCCTATTTTAAGTTTCTAGTTACTAACAATGGTTTAGGTTTTGGTAAAATATGAAGGGCAAAGAATAATGAGTGATTTAAAATACATATATTCACACAATTAGGATAGTTGATGAAAATGAGTGTCACATACTCTGCTATTTCTGAAATGTAAGAAAATGTAGAAGAAAGTATAATAGAAAAGTGAATATAAAAATATCCATTCATGGGTATATGTTTTACAATTGTGGCCCAGTATTACAGAAGAATATAGGGGCACAGTAAACTCCAGCCTTAATAGATTAAAACTAAAACTTTGTTTAAATTTTAAAAAATTTGCAAAAAGCATTGGGCAGTTCGAAGCTGGATACCATTCCAGGGTTTGAGGGTGCTGTATTAATTTCACCATGAATTTCTGTTTGTAAAGTTGGACAAAAGCAAGAAAAAAAGGTCACCAGTGACTGACTCCAAGCCTCCCATCTGGCTTCTACTCTGCATTTGGGGGAGTCTCTTGTGCACTGACGGACACAAATTCCCACTAGCAGCCCTGCTCAGGGCACCCTTACCACTTGACGGAGGCTTTGAGGAGAGTGCAGCTGACAGTAGCACTAAAAGGCTTCCTACCTAACCTGGGGCTCTTGCATTCTTGTGCGTGCTTTGACCCAGGAAGCTTACCTCTTTAATTAATGACGCCAGGTGAAGAGTAGTGAGGGGCGTCTGCTCTGCTGGTTTGACAACCACTGTGTTTCCACAGCTCAGGGCCGGCCCTATCTTCCAGGCCAGCATAACCAATGGGAAGTTCCACTGGAAAGCAACATTCCACATTGGAGTCTTTTTGTTCAAAGGCACGGTTACTGATGTAACTTTGACATTATAAACCTCCCCCTCCCTCGTAGCTGTTAAATAATAATTAATGGTTTTGCAAGGCATCCAATATATTCTGTTTAAAGTAATGGACAGAAGCAACTAGTAAATGATAGTGCTCTAACTAAAGCAGATAGAGGAAGGAAAAAGGAAAGAGTCTTCATGTTTACTCATTATTTTTGAATTATTTTTCTACCAGGAAAAAAATCACTGCATCATTCTGGATACAGGCAAACATATTTTAAGTGCTCTGTGTTTTAAAAAGTCACTATTCTCTCCTCTTTATGGGTGATTTATTTTATTTGCTCAATAACATTATTTATTTATGGGATAAATACACTTTTTTTGTGATGCTAGAGTTCCAGCCTGGGACTTCGTTCAGGTGGCAGGTGCTCTCTCACTTAGCTACTAGTAAGCAAGCATCCATTTGTGCTGGAGAAGTCTTTGTCACCAAATCAAACAGAGTTAAGTTTTCTGTTTTATTCACACAGAAGAGCAACTCACGGGAATGATTTGATCACATACTCCAATAGGTTCACATCTTGTGTAAGTGAAGAAGTCTCCATCTGGAAAATAAAGCACACACCCAGCCCTACAGAGAACTGAGGCACAGAGATCTGAAATGAATGGGAGAGCAAGATGAAAATAGTGATTAAAAAATGAAAAAGAATGCATATCTTACACAACTTACAGAATAGAAATCTTCGCCATCAAATAGTAACCGGGAATGAAAGAAACCATAAAACTGAGTTAAGTAAAAGCCAAGATGCAATATTAGGAAGCATCTGAAAGACAGTTAATTCTTTTCTTCATCATCAAGGAGAGGTGTTTTCTGTATTATGGTCATTCTCAGAGTTTAGAAAGAGGAGGTAGGATCATATCTAGCTAAACGAAGAACCATATCCAAATGTATTTTTAGTAGCTCAAAGTGTTACCACTAATTCAATACTTTTGAAAAAGAAATATAATTTTTTTTTTTGTACCAGGGATAGAACTCAGGTCCTTGCGCTTGCGAAGTAGGCGGTGGAACCACTAAGCTAAATCCCCAGCCCAAGAAATATAATTTTTGAAATAATAAAATTGAAATTCACTTTCTAGAAGGAATAAGCCTTTCTATCAACTTGCTCTAAAATGTTGTTTTCCTTTTTTTACTAAGCCAAAAGCAAGCTTTGTTAATCTATGCAAAAAATGGCCAATGTAAATAGCAATTCTTTTCTGTCAAGAGTTGATGGATTAACGTGTTTCATAGTTTGATGTAATCATCCTGAGAGCATCAAGATGCTTGTTGTATTTCAGTTCCCACAGGAGCCCCCTGGCTTTCACAGCAAGGCCTGGGTCTCTGAAGATCCACCTGTACTTTAAATGGCTTGTCCCACCTGGTCTGAGGGCAAAGACAGTCATTAAGATAGCCACATTTCTCAGACTTCCTACTGCTTGTAGCCCTACCAGATGCTTCAATTAGATAAGAAATGCACACCAGGGCTGGTCCTGAACAAGTTTCATTCCTAAAGTTAACACATTTCTATGAGTTAAATTTCACCTTATTTCCTCAATTGATGCTTTTTCATATGAAATATTTTTCATATTTCTATTTTGTTCTGTGCATATTTCATAGAAATAACATATATATGCACATTTATACACACAAATTCTTAGCTCAGGCTATAAACATAGCCTTAGGCTGTTTTGAAGCTATTTGAAGCCAATCCATATGAATTAGTTTGTTTAATTATTCTAGTCTAATGGTACTGAGTTTGAACAGGCACAGATAATCATAGCTGGCTCATGCTGGCGCATGCAGAAAGGCTTAAGCAGTTATCTTATGAAAAGGGTATAAATGTCATGGAGGGGATGAAACTCGAATATTAATGTCAGAGGCCAGCTCTGAAAAGTTTGGGCGCTTAGATAGTTGCCTCAAATCAGTAATTGTAGCTGAAAGAATGTTCGTATGTTAACATTTTCTAAAATATTCATGGTGTTATCTTCTGTCTGGTTATGCTGAAACAACTTTGAAGACTATTTTTTGAATCTTCATATTATTCTTATGTTTAGAACTGTGTCAGTATAACAGGAGAATATAGTTTTGCTTTGTTTGGCTGGCATCTTCAAGAAGGAGAGTTTGAAATTATTCAGCTGGGGCTGGGGATTTAGCTCAGTGGTGCCGCTGCCTGCCCTGCGAGTGCAAGGTCCCAAGTTAGATCCGCGGTACCACAAAAAAACAAACAAACAAACAAACAAAAAAACCATTCAGTTGCACAGTAACTGTAGCATACCTGACCCCATCCCAGAGGTTTCCCAATGCTCCTTACCTATAGGAATGGTGCGGCCCTGGATATTGTCAGACCACCCTGCAAAGTAGTGTAATGCTTTTATGCAACCTCCTATTCTTATCAGATATGTATTACAAATACTTTCCCAGCATTTATTGCCTTCACTAAAAAACAGATTGAGCTCCAAATTAAAAATTCCACAAAAATTTTAGATTAAAATATAAATGGCCAAGATGTTGAGTATGTACTAGAAAATTATAGATATAGAAGAAATTTTACATTATCTTGATAATTTTTTTCTTTAAAAAAGAGAGACTTAAAAAGAGTTGAATTAACATGTATATACTGTCATATTGTATGACCTAGGTAAAATGGGTAGGAGATTCCAGGGGCTAAACCTCAGCGCTTTTACTACGTTATCCTGAGTGTTCTCATCCTGAGTGCTAACCAACATTTGAAGAGTTGGTCAAAACTGGATACATCCTGCTGGCCAGAGCAGTGTGGAGTCTGCTTGATCAGATCAGGGTTGTAACAAGATTTCATGATGGAGACGATTTAGTGTTAGTGATATTTATTTATTTATTTATTTTGAGACAGGGTCTCACTAAGTAGTTGAGACTGACCTGGAACTCACTATGTAGCCCAGGCTGGTCTGGAACTCACAGCGATCCTCTTGCCTCAGCCTCCTGAGTGCTGGGATTACAGGTGTGCACCACCACACCTGGCTAGTGTTAGTGATTTTTAATGCTATTTCAATAATCATTTTTGGCACTCTAGGGGCTGAGGCAGGAGGATCACTACAAGTTCTAGACCTGCCTTCACTAAATAGTGAATTCAAGAGTCTGTCTGGAAAAAAAAATCATTTTTAATTTTTGTATTTTACATATGCAAACCATCTAGGTCTTTAATCTATAAATTTTCTTCAGCAGAATTTTCAGTTATGAAACTGAGAATAAATAAGATGTATTTTTGTAATATTTCAGATACCTTCAACAAAGTCAAGTAAGAATTCCTGTAAGAGTTCAGGGTCAAGTAAGTTTGAGAAACTTAGTACAATATTCTAGAAGATTCACAGAACATGTTACTGTTGTACCCAGATCTCAGTTTCCCCAAGGACCACCAGAGAAACGAGTCCGCTGCAAGTACAAGAGAAGTTTATTTCAGGTTCGAACCTGGACCCTTGTCCACCAGAAGGCAAGAGCCCAGAATTGCGATTACAACAGGGTTATATAGGGTTAAGGTGACTTAAAATCCTCTCTATTGGCTTCTTTTCTAATATTTTATATCTATTGGATGTTGCTGGGGTGTTAGCGAAAGCGGGAAGAAACGTTAAGTCTAGGGGAGGGGGAGTTTGGTGAAGGTTAGGGAGTTTGGCTCCTCTCCTGCGGGTGGTGGTTATCTGCACAGACCGTCCTGTTTTTCTCCTTCTTTTCAAGGTTGGAATGGCCTTGCTCACCCACTTGGTTCTGCTCTTATCTCAACTAAGCAAGCTAAACAAATTTCTGCTGCCTGAGCCCGTGGCGGGGGCAAGTCTGACACCGGATGGCTTTTTAGCTCAAAATGGAGTAACTTTGGCTCCTCAGTTTCCTTGTTGAAGGCTCTGCATGCTACCTTTTTAAAGGCTTGTTCAAATTCTGGAGAAAAGGAAGACACTTCTTTAGTTGGACTTAACTGAGGAATCGCCAAACCCTATCCTGTACAATCAGTTACGGGAGCAGAAGTAAACATCACCCAGAACTAGCAAGCAGATGACTACTTGAGAGCAACCCCCAGGACTAGGAGTCCTAACCATTAGCTGGAGATGAAGTCTTTTCCTTTTCATAGCGTGCGTGTTGCGTACTACAACCAATCAAGTTGCCAATTCAAACAGTGAGTGCTTTGGAGAGCTTCCCTGTGCGTCCGGGTTCCTTATACTCACTGCCAGCAGCAGTCGATCTCTTTCAATTAAGTCAGCCAGCTTGTACAGAAGGCGACCCCTCTCTGAAGCATCCAGAGTACGCCATGGAGAGCCGATCTGAAAGGCCTGTCTTGCGGCCTTCACTGCTTTCTCAACATCTGCCTGTAAGTCGGAGGGAATTCAATTCAATACGCTCAACACATGGGCAGAGCACATCCAATGGGAATAACCCTTTAGAACAGACTGTGGCTACTCATGAACAGATGCTGTGTCTCCATTAGCTCCAAGTCTAGCACATTCTACATATTCAACCGCAGTAGGTAGGACTGACACCTGCTGATATTCTTTAGATGGGTGAGCTCCTCACACCTGATATGGGCTTGATTTCCTAGATTACACATGTTGACAACATTTCAGTAGTTAACAAATATCTGAGTATTTACTATATTTTGGGTAATTTTCTAATAACTGTAGCTATGTTAACTCATTTGATTCTCAGCAATCTCATGGGATTAATATGTTCTCCATTTAATAGATGAAGAAACATAGGAGAAGATAGATTTGTTCAAGGTCAGGAACTAAAAGTGGATACTTTTATTTTGAATTTGAATGGATCTTGTCTAACAATGGATCCTTTGCTCTTTACCATGCTTTTTAATCCTTTCATAATTTGCCTCATGGCCTTCACTCAATTTCCCTCGTGATGTTCTCTGTTGTGTTTTTCTAAACCAAATCTGCTCCTCTAGTTCTTTCCTAAACATCCTTGGTTATTC